AAATTGAAACTTGTAACTTATTGTTCTTAGTAGTGTTAGACTCAGCTAATGAGTTTGGGTTAGAATATATATGAATATCTGATTGGTCAATGGATATATTCAAATAAATACACTAAACCAATTGCTGTGGCATTTTTATTTCCATTTCACATAAACCAAAAATCAACGTAAAGGCACAGAAAATGAAAAAGAGTTAAAAATAACAAGTCAAGACACCAACCACATACAAGATATATATACATTAACATTTGTTACAAAGTGTCACATTTTGATTCATTATTCCTAAAAACCGTTACTGACATATTTGAGTGAAAAGCACTTACGTCAAATTTTAGGTAGAGTCTTATATATATATATATATATATAACTTTTATTTTCAGAAATATCTCGATAGAAGAAGAAATGAACAAAGTATTTACCAATAAAAACTTGTAAATAAATAAACATCGGTGAAAACTGGAAGTTAAAAAATTTGAAGTTTTAAAACTCTCGACAGAACTGAATGAAAGGGAAATTTATTACGACAGTTCGAGCAAACGTCTTGCCATGGCCTATTGGTTACGGGTCGCGAGTTTGAATCCTGTCACCGAACATGCCCACTTTTTCGGCCATAGGGACGTTATAATGTGAAGGTCAATCTCACTATTCCTTGGTAAAGGGTAGTACAAGAGTTGGCCATGGGCAGTGTTGACTAGCTACCTTCCTTCTATTCTATCATTTCAAGATTAAGGATGAGTAGCGCAGATAGCTCTCGAGTATTTTTGCGCGAAATTCAATTAACAAACAGATCGAACAAAAGCCCTTTTAGGGCAGTCGTGGACAGAACATTTGTTTTACTTGAAAATAATCAAAAACATTTAATCCATTTTATTCGAAATGTATAAATTTGCACCTAAAATTTGACAAGGAAATATATAAATATGTGTTACTGTAAAAGCGTTTAAGTGCAATATACACCATTAACTATAGTTGTTGGTTCTTTTCTTAGTACAAAGCTACACAATGTCCATCGTGGGGAATCTAACCCCCAAATGTTTCGTTGTAATTCCGTAAACTTACCAGCGGACTAGTCCAGCTATGGACTAACCATAAAGTTTTTGTTATTTCTCATATAGATATCAAACAACAAAAAACAAGTAATATTTTATGAATATAGATTAAACATCACATTTCTAATAACATTATAGTAAAATCGGTTTATCTTCAAGTCCTCAAAGAAATACACACATTAAAGGAAACGCCTAGTTCTTAACCCAAGTGGTCCCGGAGGAAAATTTGTGAATAAGGAAGAGTTTAAAATTATATAAATCATAAAATATTTATATTCATACGTATGCACTAATTTCTTTAAAGTGAAATCAGTGTGATTTAGCATACAATATGTCCCGATTTAAATTTGGCCGGTTTGGAAACTTCCAAGAAGTAATTAAACAAATTTTAACCGCGGAAACTGATTTTTCGTCGATGCCAACGAGCCTCGAACATTATGTAGTCGAATTTACTAAAAAATCATTTGTTTGTTGTTAAGCGCAAAGCTAAACAATGGGCTATCTGTGCTGTGCTCATCACGGGTATCGAAAATCCTATTTTTAGTGTTGTAAGTCTTCAGACTTACTTTTGAGCTGCTGGAGGGATACTAAAAAGTACATGATGTTAAATAAATTATCATTTTACAAGTTTCTTGTGAACAGAAAAAAAATCTTATTTTTGGCATAGTATATCGCTTTAAAAAGGGACACATTCCGTGGACACCTACTAAAAACTCAATTAGTACAGTGATAATTTTTTAGAAGTAATAAAATAAACTTAATAAAAACCATTATGAAGAGTAGTCTGAATATCTCGTTTTTTAAACCAGATAGACAGTTATAAAGCACCTGGATGTACCTGGTGGATAGTGTGTTTGGACTGTGAATCCGAAGGATCGTTAGTCATTGCGCCCCCCCCCCCCAAAGTATGGCAGTCAATTCCCACTTTTCGGTTAGACAAATTCAGTCCAAGAGTTGGTGGTGGGCTATTGATTATGTGCCTTCCCTCTAATCTATCAGTTCAAAATTAGGAACAGTTATGCACAGATATTCCTTTGTGAAGATTTGCGCCAAAATTCTGAAACTGAAAAAATCAAGTATCCTTTGTAACAAAAATTGGTATTCACTAATTAACATACCATTATTAAGAGTATTGATTTGTTAATAACTCAGTAAATATTAATTTAAGCAAACTCACCTGTAACCTCATATTACCATTACGAGTCCAAGATACTGTTTCACTTCCTTGAACATCTGGATATCCATTACTAAATTAGATACGAGATCACTGCGGATATCAGACGATAGCAGCGATTTTAATTTTCGAATAAGTCGTCATAGTTCACAAATAATCATCGTTTTCTCTTTTACTTTGTCCGTTCATGGGCAGAAGTGACCATTATGACTTGGCGAAGCCTAAGGTTTTTAAGCCATCATATAAGTTAGATAAAATAATTAAAAGTCTGTAGTAATTTGTCCTAAACCATATTAGACTATACATAGTTTCACTCTCAGTACTTGTACATGTCACACAGCAATTTTTCCATAGAAGTGTTACCAACCATACCCTGGAAAAACATTGTTTTTATTCTATCTGTCGGAATATACCGTAAAGAGGGCAGCATCAGCAATAACCTTCCGAACCTAAACAAGTCGGTAAACAAGTAATGATTATTCTTATTATTTTTTATATTTAAAGGGTAAAATGAACAATATTAATTATCACAAAAAAATGACATAATTTTAGTTTTCCAGAGGTACTTCTAATGATAACACAGATGTTAAAAAACAGCAACGTTTAATGTTTAAAGGTATGAGACTGGGAACAGTCTTAACGTATTTTTTTATCTTTATACAGTAAATTAAGGAGTAAAATTTTATTGTGTTTTGAGACTGGGAATGATCTCGTTTTTAAACTTTTATTGTGTATCATTAAACTTTTTTTTTAAACATCCGTGTTATTTAAAATTTACACAAGTGTCACCTTAATTTTAACTTCTAAGAATATTTTTGAACTGTTAAATATTTTCGTTAGCCTCTCTACAGGATGATTCTAAAACATATATAATAAAGTAAAAATATAAGCATACATATGACCCACAAATATAATGCAGTTCAGTAAACAAAACCATTAACAATTTTGTCTAAAATATGTATTACATATTTCTATAAGATATATTCATGAATATTGAATAGCTAAGTAGATCACCACTAAAAGTAAATTGGCAAACAACGATTCATAAGCCTAATGAAATGTTTTTATTTTTAGGGAATATACTACAAATACATGATTAGTCTGTTATACCTGAAGAAGACAAGCCATTGTTCTGTCGAAACGTCTAACATGTTACTCGAAATAAAACCACTACATCATGCTTATAAATCGTTGTTTGCCAGTTTGCTATTATATTTGCATAATATGCTTAAATACACAAGTAGCCCCCCCCCCCAGTAGCTAAAAACTAAGTTTCGATACCCGTGGTTGGCACAGCACATATAGCCCATTATGTAGCTTTGTGCTTTGTGGATCCTGTGTTTTTAATTATTTGTTTAATAATGTGTCAAGGATCAATACCAAATATTTTCAAGATGTAAGATTTTATATCTAGAGAAGATTTGACTAAATAAAATCATCTTTGACTACCTGACTAGATGCGTAGGGTGCTGCGTCTTGACGTGATGCTGGAGCGTTAGATGTGCTTGATCCTGCAGAGCCTCCACCTGGTGAGCATCTTTCAAACCACGAGAATCTGCAGATCAGTGCATAAATTAAGGGCGGGAATGGAACCAAGAAAAACTTTTCAGATACCAATACGCCTATCTTAATATTTTATTTGCAAACCATCAATAACTAAAGAAGATGATGTAGCGCAACTAAAGTTTACATGAAATATCTAAAAAGTAGTTTCGAAAACATGATGAAATATAATTGGGGAAAAGAGAACATAAAAATGACTAAACAATGCATACTAAGCCATAATAAAAGGTTATCAAAACACTCTCTTCCGATGAAACTATAACATATTCTGAGTAAATATTCTTTACTGATAATTTGAAATAAATCAACAAATGACTAATTTCGGATATTACACTGACTAGATCACTTTAATTAACGTTTAGGCTTTAGTCAAAGGAAGGTGAAAGCCAAAACGTTGATAAAAATAATACAGATACATGGGTGTCCGCAGTGTGTGGGGGGGAGAGGGGTACTTGCCCCCAGAAAATGAGATACATAATTCTTTCTTTATTCATTGTTTGTTTGTTTGTAATGAAGCACAAAGCTACACAATGGGCTATCTGTGCTCTGCCCACTACGGGTATCGAAACCAGGATTCTAGCGTTGTAAGTCCGCAGACATATCGCTGGGGGGCTTCTTTATTCATTCAGCATATGTATACGAATTTTTTTTTATCCAAGTCACAATTTCACACTACTTTGTCCCCCCCCCCCCGGAAAACTTTGCTCTTCCCTGGAAAAAGTTCTGCAGACGCCCATGTATATACAGTGTGGTATCTGAAGTTAGTTGTTTGTCTATTTATTTCCCATTATGTCTAACACATTTCAGTTAACAACACACATAAAAAACAACAACTTTATTCACGTTAGTGCTACAAGAAAACTTGCCATTCGAATAAATCCAAAGGTTGGTTGATACCACCATATTTTTAATACAGGCCAAAGTAAATGATTTAAGGATAACTACTATGTGAAGTTCTTTGTGTTTATCTTTCTTGGGTTTAAAACCTTTACAGAAGAAAAGAACAACAACGGAACAATCTATGATAACTAACCTACCTGTTTTGAAAAGAACAATCGCCTTCAAATAAGCAAACTCTGCAGGGTCTACTCCAATCGCTTTGAAACGAGTCGTTACTTCTTGGAGCGTGCGCAGATCTGCGAGAGATGGTGCTACTTTTCCATTGGGTGAGCCTACTAGCACGTGCTCGCTGGACATGAACAAAGGACTGTGCTCAAAGGGCATGCACCACTGAATGGAGCACAGAAGGAAAAGCTCCGCCCACGATTCTTCCAGAAGGATAACCTGCAGTAAGGAAAAAAAAATTATTGCTTGTTTACCACAAGATGTATAACCTTTTATGAGTACATGCATTTTATGCATGAATAAAAAGGGCATATCATAAATCGTGTAAAAGTATGGTTAGTGTTCTGCATATGACGTCACCAAGAGATGAATCTACTTTAAACAAGCACGACATACAAACAACCTAACTAACTACAGTTATCAAGTAATAACCTATATCTTACACCCTTATAATAAATACCAATATCCAAACAAGTCTTAAAATCAACAACAACACCTTAGATTTAAATTTGAACCTCTCATTATCTGAAACCACCTTTATTTTCTATTTTTAACGTATCCCTTCAACTGCGGTTGACATCATTGATGCAAACATTTTGTGCGCAACATTTTGAATAGTCCGCCGCAAAATTTGGCGAATATTTGCGCATGTGGTGGTGGGAAGATTTACATAAGGTTAAGGTTAAACGAAAGGTTAAGTAATGTGACGTACCAAAACTTCCACTTCGGATAACAACACTTAAGTAATGTGTCGTACCAAAACTTTCACTTCGGATAACAACACTTAAGTAATGTGTCGTATCAAAACTTCCACTTCGGATAACAACACTTAAGTAATGTGACGTA